TTCTGTCTTAAAGAGGTCCTGCGTCATCGCTGACTGACTGTCAGTCACTGGTGACACTCAGAAGTAGCCGTGGTTAGGGTGGCTGACTGGGTAACATGGCTGACTGCACAGTTCGAGTCCCAGACCCCGCAGCTTGAGAAACACGCTGAGCGCCTGTACCCGTGTACCCAGAAACCCTGAGAGGAGAAGCGGAGGGGAAGGGATCAGTGGGACCGCTCCCCACGGGGTGCTGCTTCCTCACTTCCCTCCCTCTGTCTCTGTCTCTCCAGCAAGGGTATACATTCTCTAGCAAAATTTAAAAATAAACGCTTATCAGCTACCGATTAAAATCTGCACTGCCGGGGCCGCAGGGGGCGTAGCTGTCACCTTCCTGGACGCCCACGTGGCTGACTGCAGTTCGAATTCAGGACCCGGTGGCTTAAAAATCATGCCGGACACCTACGCATGCATGCCCAGGGTCCCTGTGGAGAAGAGATTTTAGCACGGCTGTCCCCCACCCCACCCCCCAGGGTTATTTCTGACTTCCCCTCGCACCGTCTGGCTAGTGCACGCACCATATGGCAGAAACCTCTTTTTTTTTTTTTTTTGGAGAGATTTTCACTGTAGGGCGCGTGCGCTCGCCAGACAGACAGAGAGAGACATAGAGACAGAAAGCGAGAAATCACCCCCCAGGGGGGATGGTCACGCCGCAATCCCTTCTCCTCCATTCTCCTCTCGGGATCTTGGGCACGCACGCACACGCGCCCGGCGTGAGTTTTTTTAAGCCACCGGGTCCGGGACACGAACCGCGGTCGACTACGTGGGAATCCAGTGACATAGCCATTACGCTAACTGCCGGTTCCCGAAACCTCTTTTTTAAAAACAGTCAGTACCGCCTCATAGCCTCTCTCAGGAGCACGGCCTGGCGGCAGACCCTCCCTTTCACATACCGTAGGTCGGTCAGTGACGGCCGCCTGCCTGCTCTGAGCCGACCTGAGTGTACGTCCGCTTCTCCTGTGAGAGAACGGCAGCACCCCGACACCACACAGTCTACCCCAGCCTCAGCCGGCCCCAGTATAGGTGGTGCGGCTGGTGGTGGCGTCTGCTAGAGGGAGCACCCGGGCCCCTTGGCCTGCCCCGCGGCCTCCTACGGCCTTGGCTGCCTGTTCTGTGTGCTATGCTCAGTCGGGTAAGACAGTCTTCCCCTTTCCCTCGCAGGGCGAGCATTTCAGGTGCCACACAGCTACGTGCGGAGACTTGGCCCTGCGTGCTGGCTTCCTGGGCGCCAGGCCACATCCCACTCCCTGCATTAGGCCCGAGGAAAGCCCGCTGACCCTCTGTCCCCTTCCCGCTGTGTGTTTGCAGCTGAGCACGGGCAGACAGTGCCAGGGGAGAGCAGCTGCCTGTGGCCTGGAACGGCAGACCTGTCGGACAGCCTTCACTCCTTTCCTAGGGACACTCTGGGGGCGAGGGTGGCCACAATAGGGACTCACCCTTCCATTCAGTGTGTCCCTAGTTCCACCGTAGGACCCTGCTCCTGCCTGGATTCTCAGCAACTCATAGGCTTGCATAGTGCTTGCCCCAGCTGGTCGGGGAAACCTCGTGTTTGCACGTGTCATGTAACGTCGTGGGGCTGGCCACACCGAGCAGGAGGAGGCAGGACACTGCTGGGAGAGCCCATCCCCATTGCACAGTGGTGGCTGTAACGCTCCCCGAGGTCAGCCGTTCACCTCTTACCACAGAGCGTGCGTGCTTGCCAAACGCAGGAGGTGAGAAAGCACCCGCAGGGGCACAGCCATGCCGCGGTCCCTCCTCCTCCCTCCGCAGGGTTTCGTGCACACACGCGCATGCACCTAGTGGGATCCAGCACCTCAACCTCTCTGTCATCTGCTGGCCCCCAGAATCAATGTTTTTCTAAAGCTGGACATCTGGAGAAAATGATCATCCTTTACTGGCACCCCCCCCAAAAAAAAAACAAACCGACCAGCATGGCTGGCTGGAAACCGACCAGCATGGCTGGCTGGAGGCCGTGATAAGTGTAGTGAGGGTCCAGTCAAGGCCCGAGAGTCGGAACCGCGTCCAGGTCTGTGCCGAGGACATACCGGGGCTGCCGCAGTTCCACGGTGGGCGCAGGCACGATGCCCCAAGGTCCCTGGGAGTCAGGAGCAGCTGACCAGTGTCAGAGGGGTGGTGACCTCGTGTGTGGCCCTCTGCTATGGGGGGCGGGGGGCTATTAAATAAGCCCATGCTTCCTAGGCTCTACCCCAGCAGCACTGCCGTGTCCGTGTCCGGGAGGTGCTGGCAGCGGCTAACATGCTATGCTTTCAGCCGTCAAGCTGAGCCACCAAAGAAGGAGGCCGCCTCCGCAGGGCCGCAGGTGAAGCGGGCCGACGAGTGGAAGGACCCTTGGCGCCGGTCCAAGTCTCCCAAGAAGAAGCTCGGGGTGTCCGTGTCCCCTAGCCGGGCACGGCGACGCCGGAAGACGTCAGCGTCATCAGCCTCTGCCTCCAACTCATCCAGGTGAGAGAAGCCGATGGCGCCAACCCACAGCACTCCTCTCCCTGGGCCGTCCCTAAGAAGAGCCGGCGGGTGCCAGTTTACTCGGCTTGGAGCCTCAGTGCCGGAGAAGGCCCACGTAGGGAGCTCTGGAAGGCCTCCCACGTCGAATCCATGGGGACGTGGCATCCTGGGAGGCGCAGCCCGCTGGAGGGGTGGGGAGGCTCTCCTGTTGCCCTGGGAAGGCGCTGCAGGCCGAGAGCAGGACCGCGCACGGCCTGGAGCCTGGTCCGGCACCGGCAGGTCCCCAGGGAGTCTAGGGCAGCCATGGGACTGCGAGTCCCGAGCACACAGCCTGGGTGGGGGCTCGTCCACGTTGAGCTCGAGTCACGGAGGTGGCCAGGGTGGGCGTAGGTGCCAGGCAGGGGCCGGAGGCTTCGGTGAGTCGGTGTGCACCACGTGCGCGGACAGACCGTGCACTCGGCGTGTCCAGCGCAGGAGCCCCGACCGTGCCTGGCCCTTGGCGTCTGCGTGCAGCGCGGCCGTGTGCCCGGGGCCGGTGCCATCGCCTTCTCCCTGCTCCCTGGCCGCCTCAGGTCGTCGTCGCGCTCCTCATCCTACTCTGGCTCCGGCTCGTCCCGCTCGCGGTCCAGGTCTTCGTCCTACAGCTCCTACTCCAGCCGCTCGTCCAGACGCAGCTCGCTCTCGGCCAGCCGGTCCAGGTATGCCAAGGCCTGCGGGGCCCCCAGCCTCTCGCTCGCCTGCCGGGAACGGCAGTCAGACTCGTGGGTCGTTTCCGAGGCGGTTTGGTGAGTCTCGGATCTGACGCGGGCTCCGGGAGCACAAGGTGAGGCTGGAGGCCCCGTGGCAGCCGCAGCTGCTGGGAGCCCTTTCGGGCGCGGAGCGCGCCTCTGAGCGGTGGTTCGGAAGTGGCACCCGCGACCTGTTTGACGAGGTGCCCGCGTCAGGGAGTGTCTCCACCGGCCCAGGCAGGGCAGCACAGACGGTTCTGACACCTCTTCACTGTGTACCCGCAGTGGGACGAGGCGCCTTTTGTAGGTTCAGCCCGTTGGCGCTCACCTGGGTGGGAAGTGGTACCTCTGCTGAGCACGGCCAGAGACGTTCTCTGGCACCGCACGCCAAGCCTGGCCTGCCGCAGGAGACAGCCCGCTGCCATCCCTGCCCTGCGACCTGGAGACCCGCACCTGCCTCTGCTTGCCCTCAGTTGGGAGAGGGGACAGTGGGCCCATGTGGGCCGTGGGCTCCACAACGGGAGAGGCGTTCAGGCCTGCCCCGTCTGAACCCCCTCCTTGTCCCTTTGTCACAGTAGGCTCAGTCGGGACAAGCCATGGGCACAGCATGGCACCCTGAGAGGAGCCGGGGGAGGCGGGCTGGTGTCATCGCAGCCCTCATCACTGAATAGGAGCGTACACCAACCACACATGTGCACAGACACACCACACACACCCTGCACATGCAGACAGGACACACGCACAGACACAGGGACAGGGCTCCGGGTTCACGCTCAGACACGCACACACACCCTGCTGCTTGGGGGAGTGTGGTCCTGGACCACGGCCACGGCGGTCCTCACAGTGGCCTGCCATCCGGCCCAGTGGCACTCCCTCCACGCAGACCTCCTGGTGTAGAGGGCAGTTGGAGAGGGCTAGAGAGCAGCAGAGATGGCTGAGCGGCTGTACCTGCACCTCCGCTCACACCCCCGGAGGTCCTGGAGCCCCTGGAGCACATGGGTGGGGACCCATTGCCCACCAGGGTTGACTGTGGAGCCCACAGCTGTAGGGGAGAGCCAGACCAGGAGGGACCTGTGCGGTGCCCACACGGCCTTGCGGGAGCCGCAGGGAAGCCCGCAGCTGGGCCGTCCTGCTGGGCCTTGGGGTGCACAGCCCAGCACAGCAGAGCCAACGCGAGGCCGTGAGCGTGGTGGCTCTCCTGTGGCCTCGTCTGAAAGTGGCCGTGACTATAACCGCAGGGCCACTGGTGATACCAGGCCAGAGGCGGCAAAGCCCCACAGGATGAGCTTGGGAAAGCGGGCAGACCTAGAACCTCAAGTCCCTGCCGGGCTCACGGGGCCACGCCCCCTTGCAGTACCATGGCTGTCCACATACAGTGGTGTCTGTCAGTGTTCCGAGGACCCAAGCGTCCCACTCCCACCCTGCACTCCGACCCGCAGCCATGCCCAGGGCCTTCTGGGGCTGCTGCATGGGTGCCCCCCGTCCCTTGGCACCCTCATGTGCACTCCGGAGGGGTCGTGGCTGGTGACAGGTGTGGACAGTGTGGATCTGAGTTGAGTGACACTCTTGGCGGCATCCTCTCCAATTCAGGCTGCGCTCAGTGGGCCAGGTGGGGCCGCCAGCAGGGCGCGTGCTGCGCCTCGGCCTGCCCTCCTCACACCTCTCTCCTCACAGGTCCCGGTCCTTCTCCTCGTCCCCGTCCCCATCCCCAACGCCTTCCCCGCACAGACCTGTCAGAGCCAAGGGGGAGCCAGCCCCGCTTCTGGGGAAAGCAGGGTAAGTCCACCACGCCGTCCCGGGCCAGGCCCAGGGCTAAGGGCCTTGGTCTGTGGCTCATTTCGGGCTGGTGACCACAGAGGCAAGGCCCCAGCCGCGTCCATGTAACCCGAGGCCTGGCCGAGGCAGTGGGCTGAGCCCTGCCCTGCAGCCCATCCTTCAGCCTCTGCTGTGGGGCCTTTCCCTCAGAGCTAGGGGCCTTCTGGGAGCCCCGTGCTCTCCGGCCTGGCTCGGCCTCGCTGTCTGTGCTCTCGGCCTGGGTAGGTGGGCATGTCTGTGCCGTGTGGGAGAACGGGCCCTGTAGGCGTCGCTGGCACTCTGCTTCGCCGTGCCCTGTCCCCTCCTTGACCGCCAGGACCGACATGTGCAGAGGGGCTGGAGGTCTGGGAAAACTCAACACATGGCCTGGGCACCAGGTCAGCCCTTCCTGGGGCCTGAGGAGGCAGGTGGGCTCTGGCCCGGTGCTCTATGCGTCTCCCGTGGGGCTGCTGTGGAATAGCCCGTGGGCACCACTCCTCTCCAGGGGCCAGCCGTGGTGGCCAGGCGGTCCCCAGCAGCCCGCCATGCGGGCAGGAGCTGTGCTGGACCAGGCCGCAGCCCCTGTGATCAAGTTTTGTTTTAATTACCAGCGAGTTTGCTCCTGCCAGAGGGACAGGGAGGAGAGAGAGAGAGCACCTCCCATGGGGCGCAGTCAAGCCTTAACCCCTTCATTCCTCTCTCCTGCCGGGATTTGAGGCATGCACTCGGCCCAGCTTGTTTTTCGAACTGCTAGGGCTGAGATTCAAACAACAGTTGGCCACATGAGATTCAGCTCCCTCGACCACCAGGCCATCACTGGTCTGTTGGGAGATTCAGCAGACACGCATCTGTGCTGTTGACCTCGGCCGGGCCCCCGGAGTGCAGGTGCTGCTGCATCATCCTGCAGTGCTGCAGCCTTGAGACTCCCTGCCACGCCATGTCCCCTGCTTGGCCCCAGGTCCCCGGTGGCACAGTGCGGGGGCGCGCGTCTGCAGAGGAGGGCCAGGCATTCAATGTGACCCGAGAATGGCCAGCACTTCCGGTGCAGATGGGGCGCTAGAGTCTGCACGGCACCCTGAGGGGTGCAGCGAGCTGCGGGGATGCTGCTCAGGCATGCTCGGTCTCGGAACCAACAGGCGCTTGCCCAGCGTGGTCGGCAGGAGGTGGCCCGCAAGTGGCCGCTGGCCCCGCCCTGTGTGAGCCTCTCTGTTTCACAGTGAGAAGTCGGTGAAGAAGCCGGCCCTTCTTCCAGCCCCACCACAGCCCACCAAAACCCCTGCTCCGGCCCCCGAGCCTGCCAAGCCAGGAGACCCTCGGGAAGCCAGGAGGAAGGAGCGGCAAGCTAGGACCCCCCCTAGGAGGTGAGCACCCCAGCCCACAGCCACCTCGAGCCACCACAAGGCAGGCTGGGTCCACAGCAGGCCACAGTGTGATGGTGCACCCAGACTGAGTGACCGAGGCCAGCAGGCCAAGCCTGGCCCAGAGGCCATCCTGTCCCTCCCTGTTGAGCTGTGTCCAGGCCTCTGTTCTTAGAGCACGTTGGGAGGAGTGCCACCGACACACCTGCCCCAGGGCCCCCGGGAGGACGCGGACACCCTTAGCACCCAGACTCCCCTGGAGAAAGCAAGTCCCCCCATCTGCCAAGGCAACCCCATCCTTAATGCGTGGGTTCCATCTGGGGACAAGTCGTCTGTAAAGGCAGCAGGCCCAAGCTGGGGACAAGCAGCCCTCATGGCACGTTCCGGCCGCGGGGCCTGTGGGCACGGCCAGCTCCCGACCACGAGTCTGTCTCCTGTGTTGCAGGCGGACCCGCAGCGGCAGGGGGGGGGGGCGGGGGGGGGCCGCA